ATCAATACAGTGGTTGGGAGCCATTTATTACAGGGGCAAACATACCTTAAGAAGAAAAGCTATTATTGAACATTCCTATGTGCCAAACACGATTTTCGGCACTTTATAAGTGTTACTTAATTCAATCCTTACAAAATAATCCTATTATTATTTCTGTTCCACAGATGAGGCAACTGAGGCAGAGAAGTTAAGTAACTTGCTCAAGGTCACACAGCCAGTGAGTGGTAAAACTGAGCCCAGGTCCTCAACATCCTGCTTCAGTGGAGGTCATAGCATGGCCAGTTAATGATACTTATTGTGATGTCCTGAATCATCCAAGAAAAAAAAAGCATGGGGATTACATTTTATTTTGTATTAATTAATTTAAAAAATTTTATCAAGGACATAGTTTTAACATGGACATAGTTCTACATGGCCTGTTACACAAAACCAGCAGACTCCCTACCCCACCACACAGCCCATTCCCTGCTCCTGAGTCAACTGCTCAACTCTCGCAGTTAGCTGACTTTGCCAGTACTTACATACCTAGTCTCTAAATGATGTACTAATATTTCTATGGGCGATTTTCCAGTTTTAGGCATTATCTATTGACACTTTATTATGGAATAAGAAAATTGAGCTCATTTCCATCCCTTCCTTCTCTCCAAATAGTTACGTAATAATTTTAGTTAGATTGATATGTCATGCATTTATTGTTTTTATCTTTTGGCCTTCCCTCTTAGGCTGAGAAGAATCTCCTGAGAAGACCATATTAACCACCTACGCATGGAGTATGCCTGCATCTGGGGAGTCCATGTTTTAAAATTTTTTTATTTTATCATTTACTTGTATATATTTGTGGGGTACAGTGTGTTGTTTCAATACATGCATATACTCTACAATGATTCACTTAGGGTAGATAGCATAGTTTTGTACCCATTTGTCCATCAATTCTCCCCACCTCCAGTTGATTTTTGCATATGGTGTAAGAATCTAATTTCATTCTTGTGCAAGTGGATATCCAGTTTTCCCAACACAATTTATTAAAGAGACTATCCTTTCCCTGTTGTGTATTTTTGGCCCCCTCATTGAAAATTAGTTTAATGTATGCTTGGGTTTATTTCTGGGCTCTCTATTCTAATTCATTAGTCTATGTGTCTGTTTTTAATGCCAGTACCATACTGTTTTCATTACTATAGTTTTGAAATACAATTTGAAATCAGGAAGTGTGATGCCTCCAGCTTTGTTCTTAAAATTGCTTTGGTTTTTTGGGATCTTTTGTGGTTCCACATGAATTTTAGGATTATTTTTTCTATTTCTGTGAAAAATGCCATTGGAATTATTTTATTAGTTAGTCTAGCTAAAGGTTTGTCTATTTTGTTTATCTTTTCAAAAAACCAATCTTAGTTTTGGTGATCTTTTCTATTGTTTTTCTAGATTCTGTATCATTTATTTCTTCTCTAAGCTCTATTTTTCCCTTCTTCTAACATTGGCCTTCGTTTGTTCTTCTGTTCTTATTCCTTAAGGTGTAAGTTCAGGTTGTTTATTTTTTTCTTAAGGTAGGCATTTATTGCTGTAAACTTTCCTCTTAAAATTGTTTTTGCTGCATCCCATAAGTTTTGGTATGTGTTCTTCCATTTTCCTTTGTCTTATGTTTTTTGATTTCCCTTTTGATTTTCTTTGGCCTGTTGGTTGTTCAGGAGTGTGTTGCTTAATTTCCACATATTTGTGAATTTTCCAATTTTTCTCCTGTTATTGGTTTTAGTTTCATATCAATGTGGTGAGAGAATGTACTAAATATGATTGCAGTCTTCTTTTATTTGTTGAGACTTGTTTTGTAACCTAAGATGTGATCAATCCTGAGGAATGTTTCATGTGAACCTGTGAAGAATGTGTATTCTGTTGTTGTTGGATGGAATGTTCTGCATATGTCTCTTTGGTCCATTTGCTCTATACTGTTGTTCAAGTCCACAGTTTCTTTCTTGATTTTCTGTTTGGCTAACCCATCTATTGTTGAAATCAGCATATTGGAATCCCCTACTATTATTGTATTGTGGACTATTTTCCCCTTCACTTTGTCTAACATTTGCTGTGTATATATTTACGTGATCCAATGTTGTGTGCATATATATTTACAATTGTTATATCCTTTTGATGTGTGGATCCCCTTATCACTATATAAGTATCTTTTTGTCTCTTGTAACTGTTTTTGACTCAGTCTTTTCTGACAAGTACAGCCACCACTGCTCTCTTTTGGTTTCCATTTGCATGGGATATCTTTTTCTACCCTTCCACTTTCAGTCTATGCTTGCCCTTAAATCTAAAGTGAATCTCTTATGTGCAGTAAATAGTTGGATTTGTTTCTAAATCTATTCTGTCAATCTATGTTTTTTGATTAGAGAACTTAATTCATTTTCATTGAAAGTAATTATTGATAGGTAAAGATTTATTATTGCCATTTTCTTCATTGTTCTCTGTTTTGAAGTTTTTTGTTCCTTTTTTCTCTTGGTTTGCTAAGCTGCTTCTTAATCAGACTTCCACCATTCTGTCTGTTTGGAGCCCCAAATTTGCCCTCTCCCAATTTCCAAAGATTTTGGGACTCTGAATCCCTGACACTTTCTGGAGAGTCTATGATGAGTTGCTTCTTGGATTTCCCTACTGGCAGATAAGGGATCAGCTTTCCCAGGGCTGCTAACCAGTTACCTTTTGTTCATCTACTTTCTAGCTTCCAACATTTTGTTGCTTCCACTCACTTGATCTTTGTCCTTGTGAGTTTATGTCTAAAAGAAATGAAACTCTCTTTATTATTATGTTAGTGAGATTTTTACTAACCAGTTACCTTTTGTTCATCTACTTTCTAGCTTCCAACATTTTGTTGCTTCCACTCACCTGATCTTTGTCCTTGTGAGTTTATGTCTAAAAGAAATGAAACTCTCTTTATTATTATGTTAGTGAGATTTTTGGGAGGTAGCTGAACTACATGTTCATATTTAGTATGCCATCTTTATCCTAAAGTTTGAAAGACATTTTAGAAAGCTTTTCAGTGCAAAGGTATCCAAAAAAGTTTTTGTTGATTTGAAGGGAAGACCAACAACTTCATGAAAAATAGTATCGTCTAAATTTTACTTGCTGTTCCAAGTGTAGTTCTAGGACTAGAAACATCAGTATTACCAGGGCATCACTCCAGTGCTTGTTAGAGATACAGAACCCTGGGCCCCACATAGGCATATTGAATCAGAATTAGCATTTTAAAAGAGACTTAGGAGATTTTTATACACACTGAAGGCTGAGAAGTACAAAAATAAAACTTTACTCAACTTTTTTTTTTTTTTAAAGATGACCGGTAAGGGGATCTTAACCCTTGATTTGGAGTTGTCAGCACCACGCTCAGCCAGTGAGCGAACCAGCCATTCCTATATGGGATCCGAACCCGGGGCCTTGGTGTTATCAGCACCGCTCCTGAGTGAGCCACGGGCCGGCCCTACTCAACTTCTATTGCAATTAAAATAAGCTAACATGAATGAATTTTAATCTAGTATTTAAAATTCTTGGTTCATTTACTTACAAAATTATTCTCCAAATTCTAGACATTGTTGAGAGATAATAAAAAGTAATACATAAATTTTCATGAAAATTTCAGTCACCATCTCTCCCTTTATAAACCATGTCTATACATCTCAGTCAGCATCACATATGAAACAAAAATTCCATTTCACTTACCAGGAGATGTCAAACTGGTTATGTTCAGACTTTTTTAGTTGTACATAGTTCTTGAGGTTTGTGGTTGGATTTTGTAGATTTGACATATTGAGTCTTCAGTCACATGTTGAGCTAAAATGAGAGGTAGCTTCCCCTAGAGACAAGGGATAGATTGATTAGATATATGCTCAGAGTCTTACCCAATGATTAATAAGTGCTCAATAGGTGATTGTGGGATGAATGAATCAAAGATAAATAAGACGCAATCCCTGCCTTCAAGATATTCACAAACCAGCAAGAGAGACCAAAAAATAAATTTGATAATTATCATACAGGGGTGACCAGTTCTAGAAATAGTAAGCACAGAGAAGCACAGAGAAGGGGCGTCTAACTCAGCACTGCTGGTAGAAGAAGGAGCCAAAGGGCTAACTAAGTCTGTTGGTGAACAAAACTTGGAGGGTGCAGAGCAGTGGCTCTGACAATTTAGTGTGTATTGGAATCACCTGGAGTGTTTGCTTGTTAAAGCACAGACTGCTGTGTTCCATTTCCTGATTGGTGGAGTGAGCCCAAACAAGTTCGTAGCATATGCTGATGATGCTAGTCTTTGGACCACATTTTGAGAACCACTGGTTTACACATTTACAAATAGTTCTGGTGGTTGGACTCTACCAGCTCATAGGTGGGAGGTAGGGAGTGGTAGGTGATACTGAAGGAAGAAGCCTAAGGAGTAGAAATTTCATTGCAGAGGTTGTAGGGAGCAATTAAAAGGTTTTACAGAGGAGATTGATGGACTTCCATTTGCCTTTTGGGAAGATCTCTTTGGTGCCGTGTGGAGGATGGATCTGAGGTGGGACTAGGGTAGGGATCAGAAAACCAAACGGTTTATTATAGCCATTCAGACAAAAAATAATAAAAACTTGCAATAAAGGCAAGAAGAGGAAAGTCCCTTAGGACTTGGTGGCCAATTGGAAGAGGGAGGGGAAGGAGTCAGTGAGGACCATCAGATTTGTAGGGGTGTGTGTGTGGGAATTGTGTTACTCAAAACACAGGAAGAGAAGTGGGTCTGAAGCAGGTTTGGGAAGAAGAGCAAAGGTGGTAAGCTGAGTGTCAGGACATAATGAATTTGGGACAGCTGGGTGGACGTGTTTGCTTGTTAAAGCACAGACTGCTGTGTTCCATTTCCTGATTGGTGGAGTGAGCCCAAGAATGTGCATTTCAAACAAGTTCGTGGATGGAGCGAACTGCTTTTCAAAAGATCCTTTTGAAAAACGTTTATAAGTAGGCCATTCTGACTTTAACATTTCTTTTTATCTTAACATTAGACAAAAAGTAAACTTCCTGAAGAGGACATGTGATTGGAAGTTGTCATTCGTTGAAGTGTTGGCAACTCCAGGTCTCTAAAGTTTTAGAAAAACACAACGAACGGTTCTCTACCCTGTTAAGGTATGGTTTCGCATTTATTATTTTTTCTTGTAGTGGTTTTGACCTCTGCCATGCCAGTTTTCACATGTCAAACTACGTGCATTTTAGCATAAAATATCATTCACATAGTATTATTTTTTTAACCAAAGACTTCACAATGTCTGCTAAATTTCTTGGGATTAGTTTGGAAAGTGCATTTTCAACGACGGGGGAGTGGGTGTGAATACTTACTGCATTCTTCCTTTCTTTTCTGTACTTTAATAAAGTGACAAGGTTTTTATTCTCAGATAACATGTTGAGTAAGAGAACTGACTAAGGAATTGAATTATTCTAAAAGGCTTGCTATCCACTGAGGATTTTATTTACAAAAATTCAAGCTTATTGGAATTTCATTTTTAGTATTATTAATAGCTTTATTGGAAGAATGTAAGTATGTGTTTTAGTATAAGGTATATTTTTTCTCTGAATTAAGCCTGCCTTCAAATTATTGTTAATTTTGTTAGGTTTGATAGGGTATTGTGGATATGTTAGGAAAGGTCCATATATTTTTTTGTTTTGTTTTGTTTTTTTGGCAACTGGCCAGTATAGGGATCAAACCCTGGACCTTGGTGTTACCAGCACCATACCCTGACTAACTGAGCTAACCGGCCAGCCCCCTATTTTAGAGGTGCATCATGAAGTATGCAGGAGTGAAAGACTTGGGAGACGCATATGATGGGAGGTTTTATTATACAATTCTCTCTACGTTTGGATGTTGTATTACTTTTCTAGGGCTGCCATAACAAAGTACCATAAACTGGGTGGCTTCAACAACAGAAATTTATTGTCTCCAAGATCAAGGTGTAGGCAGGGTTGGTTCCTTCAGAGGGATGTGAGGGAGAATCCGTTCCAGGCCTGTCTCCTTGGCTTGGTGATGGCCATTTTCTCCTTGTGTCTCTTTATGTCATCTTCCCTCTGTGCATGTCTGTGTCCAAATTTCCTCTTCTCATAAGGACACCAATCATTTTGGATCACAGGTCCTCCCAGCCCCCGTGACCTCTTGATTACCTGTCTAAAGTTCCTATCTCCAAAAAAGGTACATTCTGAGGTACTGGGAGTTAAGATTTCAACGTGTGAATTTGGAGAGAAAACAATTCAACCTGTACCAGATATGTCTTAAACATTTCATAATATCACATTTTACAGATTTGCCTCCAAATGCTTGCAATAAACATTTGTTAAACCCAGCACCTGGACTGTGCTGGATGTTGAGTGTGGGAAGATGAATAAGACATGGTTTCTGCTCATGAACCCATGGTTTAGTCAAATGCATGAATCTAACTTCGTGAGTGTGTATTTTCTTTGCACAAGCTCATGCTTTTCATGTAGGAGTGAACCCAGAGCCCCATTATCAGAAGTCATTGTAGGAAAGAGCCTTGAGTAAAAGCTGATGATCTCTGTCAAGATTCTTGGTTTATAAATACCAAAAAAAAAAAAAAAAAAAAGTCTTGGAGAGGAGTGTTTATGATGGGATCTCATTCATACGTCCAGGTTGGATTTAATATATTCTAAAAGTGTTTGTTCCCATCTTGTTTGCTTTCTCTGTCTCTACCACCTTCTCCTTGTCCCTTCTAGACATAGTGTTCAGTGACCCTGCAGCCATTAGTGTGCAAACATTTTTTTCTTCTTTCTTGCTGCTGATGCCCACAAGACAGGAACTGTGGCAGAAAGGGAAAGAACAGGCTGATGAAACCTTGCAGCCCGCGATGGCACCATGGCAACCAGGCCTGATCACATTAGCAGGTCCCAGGGGAGCTGGGGACTGCCTCGCTCTGCTGCTGTTTCAGCTTCTGCCCTCTCCAGACCCTCCGCGTCTGAGTGCTCAAAGAGGAAATGGTCACCAGTGCTCCCCTGCCACCCTTGTTTCTGTTTTCTCTTAGGATTAAAGCTTCGTGGGCTATCTGCCCATGTTTTGCTTCTTTCCTTCTTCCTCCCTCTGAACCTTGTTAATTTAGAGCCAGAGCCTGGGGTATAGCATACGTGGTAGTTGATGAGTCATATGAAGCCCATTAAAAACAAAAGCTGATTATCGCAGGGGCCATTATTTATTTGCACCGTTTTTGCCAGAGGACGCTTTCTTCGATGTCCCTGGCGTTGCTGCCACATGGCTGGGGCCCTGCCGGGTGGGCAGAGCAGAGGTCCCGGCAGAGACTGGGGCTGGCAGGCAGCGGGCGATGAATGAGATGAGGAGCTACTTGAGAGAGGACCTCACACTGCTGCTGCTTCTCTGACATGGATACAGATCATCCTTCTGAGAGCTGAGAATACCAATTTTTTGTTTGTTTTTTCTTGCCTTCACCATTTCATACTCTTATCAGGCTTCCCTTCTTGCTGAAGTAATCTGGGCAGGGATCCTGTAGCTGTCCTTTAGCTGGATTCATCAGACAGCAAATAGTGAAGGGATTCCATGTTTTCACAAGGAGAAAGTCCAGACTGCTTTGAGCTTTCACCTCTGTGGTTTGGTGGCCAACCCAGCCTGTGGACTAGCACTGCTTGCAAACTCTTCTTCCTGGTTTCCTTCTGGGATCTTTCTTCACTCTGATGTCCATCTCATGGGGCTCATGGCCTCACAAAACACAACCATGTTGATGACTCTAAAATTCATACCCTTATTCTTCTTTTGAGCTCTAGTTTTGTTTTCCAAATACCAAACACGAGTTCCTAGATGTCTCTCAGACATGAGGGACATTTAATTGGTTATGTCCCATAGAGTATGTAATAGTTGAGAGTGTGCCTGCATTCAAATCTCGGTTCTGCCATTTACTGGCTGTTTGACCTTGGGCAAGTTTCTTAACCTTTCTGTGTATCAGTTTTCTGATGTGTATTGGTATCCGTACCTTAGAAGCCTTACAGAGTTGTTGTGAGGACTAAATGAGATAGTACTTTAAAGTGTTTAGAAAAGTGCTCAGTGTTAGTTATAATAATCATCATTTTCTCAAACCATCGTTTCCCATCTCGGTTAATGACAGCACCATTTACTCAGTTACCAAACTAAAAGTTTTGATTATCTTTAACATCTATACTAGTCAGTTAAGAAGTTATATTGATTTCTACCTCTTAAGTGTATCTTAATCTCTTCCTTTTTATCCCTACTGTCACCGACACAATTCAGACCTTGGGTTCTGGTGAGGGCCCTCTTCTAGGTTGCAGATTCCTGACTTCTCACGGTATCCTCACATGGTAGAAATACAGCTCTTTGGCCTCTTCTTATAAGGGCGCAATTCAATTCATGAGGGTTCCACCCTCACGACGTAATTACCTCCCCAAATCTCCACCTCTAAACCCTCATATTGAGGGTTAGATTTCAACTTATCAATTTTGGGGAGACACAAACATTCAGTCCATAATGCTGTAGCCTCCTGATGTCTCATGGCTGCCAGACAGATCTTTCTTAGATTGAGGGTTAGATTTCAACTTATCAATTTTGGGGAGACACAAACATTCAGTCCATAATGCTATAGCCTCCTGATGTCTCATGGCTGCCAGACAGATCTTTCTTAAGCAAAAGTCTCATATTCCTCTCCTACGTGAAAGCCTGTGGTGGCTTTCCATCGCCCAGAGGAAAACACACAAATGTTTTAATGCCATCTCAGAGTGCTTTCAGGCCTAGGTCCCAAGCCCTCTCCCATCCTTTCAGCCTCTGTTCTGGGCACACCCTCCCCCATCTCCATGCACCCCTTTAGTCATGTCCATCTGCTGAAGTCCCCTCGATGCACCACAAGTGACCTCCTTTAGCTTCTTATACCTTTGCAGTGCAACCCACCCCTGTTCAGCCCAACACATGTGCTCCATCTCCATGGCTTTAAACCTGGTCTATTTTTTTGTACTTTAAATATCAGGCATCCCTTACCAAATTTCATCAAAAATCAGTTACACCTTTTGGATTGGCATCAATGATCATTTTGTTTATAGCTTTTGTTATCTTTAAAGGACAATGCTAACTTGACTAACATATGAGGCAAAGTCCTTCTTCTCCACATTATCCTGTGCACTGTATAGTTTTCGTCCACTCACATTTGTCACTTGTCCCTTGGTGTGCCTGGATGCTCTTTTTTTTTTTTTTTTTTCTTTTGGCGGCTGGCTGGTGTGGACATTCACATTTTGAATTTAGTCCTTGGCTCAGATGCCCTACTAAAGCTTTTCTGGTTTCTGCCCAGGCATAGAGCGCTTCTCCTCCTCCTTCTGGCCCCATCCCCCCGCTCGTCTGCTTCCCCAGCATTTTGTGCTTACTTCTGTTACAGTTCTTGTTTCACTGCATATTCATTGTTCCTTTTCATTTACAGCTTATCTATCAGGCTGTTGCTGTTCTAGAGCCACATTCTTGGTGCTTAATGTAGTGACGAGTATGTGGCACGTCCTCATTGCCTGTTTGTTAGATGTTTGATGATGTGCTCCTAAGCTGCTGCCTGAATTTCATCCACTCAGACCAGGCTCTCCTGTCCCTGATGTGGGTTGAGTGGCATCTGGTTGGTGGTGCCCATCTCATATCAGCAGGGACAAAGCAACCCCTTGTTGATCCCAGCTTGATTTTTGGTCTGTGTCCATGCCTGGTTCATGCCTTGGACAGACACATAGATTGCTGGATGAAAATAAAAACAGGCTCTTCTGCCTCAGTGGCTTCAAGCTTTGCTGGTATATCTTTAGGTTGTCAGCAGAGGCCAAGTCACGTATCAAACTTCATTTAAAATTATTAACAGCTTTTGGATCGGTATGTATATCCATTGTTCTGCATTTAATATCTGTTATATTTGAAGGACTTTTCATATATATTTCTTGGGAATACTCATGTGTGTGTCATGGACAGTAAAACCCTTTCCCACATCATCCTATGCTTTATAATTTTGGTAGCCAAGTTTGTTTTTCTCCAGAACAAGTTAAGTTCTGTTAAAATATCAGATTTCCATCTAGTCTAGTTCTTAGAGTTCTGAAAAGTGTTTAAGAACTAAGAGTGATGAAGTGTTTGTAGAACTCACAAAACGAGG